CTACAAAAGAAAAATCAATCAAGAAATTAATATCAATTTTCATTCCACGAAATTAATTCGGTGATATTTGTCTGAAAATTAATAGTCGATTGTTCATGGGATTTTAATTATCTGGTAACAGGGTAAAAATAATGTCGAGTAAAGAATAAGTGGATTGAGATGAATCCCCGGGTTACTCTTCAGATGAGTCAGTGTAATGGAAGCATTCGACGTCATTATTTTTGACTCAGCAGAAGATTATTTCTCTGATGTTACATTTTCAGAGAACATCACTCAAATGAACTCTTACATCGAGCGTAGGAATGTGCCATGAATGAGGATTGAGTAAGACTCGCATTTCAGTTTCATACTGGAGATTATTAAGGGTAGGAATTGGAGAGATATTAAAAAATCTGAAATTTTAATGGACAAAAAATTCTTCCTCCATAGAATAGAGAAATCCAAATAAATAAAAGAATTTTCTTCACAACTTCAACGTTATAAATAATATATTTTTATTCGCCAATTAAAATATCCTGCTACCAAGAACTTCAACGTTGAAAAATTTATCGAGTGGTTTTGAAGCTCAAGTTCTCCACCTCGAATAATCAAATGGACCGTAAAAAGAAAAACCTCTACACAATAACTGTTTTCAAATCCTCACCAACGACGGGAATTCCCCCGAAATTTCTTATATCAATGAGGTACCGACGAATGCATTCGCGATAACAAAGGATTCTCTGCTTGAATGTCCCTAGAAAATGGAGTTGGGTAAAACGACAAAACGAGAGCTTCGACCGTAACGAAAAAAGTCCATTGAAAATTCCAAATGCGAGAAAAAATTCTCAAGAACTCATTACTCGCGGCAAAAGAAGTTCCAGGCAGTGTATAACAGCATTGGACTGGATCTTCAAATAAATTGAACATCAAATTGATTGATTGATTGAATTGAATCGATTAATTAACCGATTACAATCGATTAAACCTGATGACCAATGTGGCTTTAATAGCAATAATTTGATATTCCCTCGGATTGGAATGGGGTGAATCTGTTTTTATGGCGAATTCTATAGATGAGATAATCTTGCCGAATTGGTAGGGGATTTCATGCGAAGAATATCACCTCCCGGGGAAGGAGATAACCCGCTGATGGCATATTGGTAATAAGTCAGGGGACTATAGAGAGCCATGAGCAACGTATGCAGTGACATTTTACGATGAATATTCTTGGAGTCTAGATCACATGTTCCATCGTCATAGAGAGACTACATCAGCTGCTAGAATTCACATGGGATCGTAAAAATACCCAGATTGCATGATGCCCGCCCTAGATACTGTGCGATCTCAATGCTGGGAGAGTAAAAAAATCAGTGCACCGAGAGATAACTGATCCCCCCATTTGTTCTCATGATAAACAGATATTCGTGTCGACAGTAATAAACAAAATACGATTGTCCTTCCACTGTGAAATAATCAATGATTTATTCCCTAAGACTGGATCCAGTGGCAGAGGGGAATCCTCGTGTAGCATGAGCTCCCCCCTATTCTTTCTCTCGTGATTCCACTGTTCTTCATTTTAACGCTAGAGGTGGTCTATTCACCTGGCGATGCTATAGATTTTTTTTCTTCATTTCCCTCTTCGTTTGAACTCTTCCAGAAGAGGAAACAACCAATCCAGTGGCACAAAAAACAGTTGGAAATAAGGAAATATATTCTGGGGGTAGAGTAGATAAATTGGATTCTTTTGCGAAGGTAAAGGTCAGAGCAATCAGGGAGAATCAGAGATCTTTTTGCTTTTTGCTGAGGAAATTTATTTGATTTTCCCAGTGAGAACGTAATCCATTTTTAGGCAGTAGTATGTTTTGTTTTTATCAGAGTAAGGAGGGCATGAAATTATATCGAATTCCCTCTGCGTATCTCCAACTACTCCACTTGCCAAAAACTCTCCATTCTGACATAATCAGGTACTTTCAACAATGGGGACTGTGATAATAGCTGTTACAAGCTCACAGAGAAACTACAATGTACCTTCCCGAGTGATTAGTGAAATTCGTACAGGGAATTATTGTGAGGTAATGCTCACCACCGGAGCCAGGGCTTATTCCACAGCCAGTGAAATGTGTTCACCACTGTCATAACACAGTGTGAATATTCCTGTTAATGTTGGTGCAAGCTATTTAATTAAATTGAGATTAATGTTTCCATTGGAACGTGGACTTTATCAAATATTTTATCATCCTGTGGAGCAATGGTATTACCGAATAATGGATTAATTATTCCCTCCCAGAATGACAAACATGACTAAACGCTCGGTCTGAATCGGGATTATCGATTTGTTCCACTGATATTAGCCTCTTTGTCACTTTTAACTTATTCGGCTGTATTTGGAGTCCTATAGGACACCCTACACCCAATAATTATTATGCGGATTTGCAATCATTTTTATGAATTAACCACGGGATATTGATTGAATGGTTGCCATTTGGTAAACATGCAAGTGAATGCTACTATTTCGACATCATCATTAATTACTTGATCGAATTGGGGATTCTAATTTATAATTACACATGGAGAAATTATCGGGGATGGCTAAATCAAAATTAAAAAATTATTATGTCCAATTGATAATGAATCAATAAAATACTTTAATTATTTGTCGCGATCTCTTCGCAGTTCTAGTGGAGCAGTCGACGGAGAGAAAGTGGACCGAATAATTTTAATATTGTTCGAATTAATGGCAAATTATTAAACAAGGTAATTGACATTGAACCGTGCACTTTTAAGTTGCAGTTTAACAGCATTCATCAAATAAATAAAATCTCTCCGTTTTCAATTAATGAACGATCAATTGCTTTCTGTACATTCGATAAATGACAAACTCGATTCGCGGTAGATTGAAATAATGGAAAAGAATGAACAGACCCACCCAGGCAGGAATTGACAATTGGCCCAAGCTTGGGTGATGGGCGGCCCAACCCCGGCTAAACAAGGCCCGAGATTGGCATCCAAGGCTGGCTCAAGCCTGGTTGAGCTTTGGGATGATAACGTGCGGGCCTCCCTTGGCCACCAGACTTGAGACTAGCTTGGTTGCCAGACCTTAGCCATGCCTTATATTTATTTATTTAAATTGATAAAAAAATAAAAATAATGTTCATTCAAGCATTTTTGCAGTTGATTAGTGTCTAATTACTCACTCCCAACTTATTTTCCACCGGGAATCGCTCATTTGTTAACTTAAAATATTACCCTAACCGGGGATCGAACCGACGACCCCCAAATCTCTAGTCCTGCGCGCTAACCGCTAGTCTAATGCGCTATTGGTACTAATAAACCTAAATCATCGATATATAGACTCCAGGAAGTTTCAAAATATAATCCCTATTAACTTCTATCTCACTAGTTACCAATTATTTCCATAATTGATTATTCAGATGCCCTCCCCCCCTCCACGTATCTGCAAGGGTTGGGCCGCCCATCATTCAAGCTTGGGCCAATTGTCAATTCCTGCCGGGGTTGAGCCTTGGCTTCCATGGTCGGTCCAATGTTGGATAAAGATCGTCCTACCCGATGCTTGATCGAAAAAGGGCAAACCGAACGTGGACCAGGAGTTGTCGTCCCAGGAACGTCTGTCAGTCCCGGCGAGTCATTGGCCACCAAGCTGGGGCGAAGGCTGGCCGTCCCTTGCTGACCAACCCTTGGTAGCCAGTCTTGGCCCATTTCTGACCCGTGTCTGGTAACCAAAGCTCATGTTTCAACATTGGCTGAAGCCTGGCTTAACCATTGGGTGAAATATGGCCCAAGCTTGGTTGCCAAAGCCTAGGCAAGTCTAGGTTGAGCCAAGCTTGGACCAGTTGTTGGAGCTTGGAATTCCTACCTGGGCACGATTTAGCACCTGTATAATTTCCCATAACCACAAAACCAATAGCGCAATTGAATTCGGATGTATCATATAAATACACTCATGATTTTGATCAGGTACTCTAGTGCAAGCGTAACTCACATTTTAATGGACTGTCAATGATCAAAATCGATGTAATAAAAGAGGATATGCCGGTTATGAATTTAGCTGATAATCACCTTCCCGGGGATATTGTCACGAGAATAATTTTCACCATCTCATCGATGGATTTGTCTTTCTCCTGGGAGAAGTAGCTCGATAACAGATGAAGAAAGTTGTGATCACCCGAGTGGAAGAGATTGTACAAAATCCAAAAGGAGAGTAATCCAAGAAAAAAAAAATAAATAAATGAAATGAAATTCTCTCCGGCGGCTCATTGCGTGGTTATGAAAGAAATTCCGAATAATGTAGGTGAAAAGCACCTGTGGGAGGAGCTGTTTCTGTGTACACATGAACTCTCAGGGGTCCAGTTCATTTAATAACACCTAAACACTTGAACTTGCAATCAAATTCTGTAATTAAGGAGAATAACCGGGAAAGTTAAGTTGGAAACTCATGTTGTTTCTGTGAATTGTAGTGGTTCATTGAGAGGTCTCGTGCTCATTATCGTTCGGCATCCTCTTCTATACTCAGCGATTATTCCCTAATATTCTACAATATTCGCGGGATTATTTCGCTCGAAGCCGGGATAATTAATACCCATACTACTTAACCTTGGGATATCATGCTGTAATTGAGTGCAATAACTAGGAACGATTTACAGTAGATAAGACGATAGAAAATTACTAGAAATAGCTAAATTCCTTTCATCCAGGATTATCTGTTCAAAAAAAAAAAGAAATTAAAGAAAGACGAAGTGGAACCGCACTCATTCAGTGCATGAGAATTATAAATTAAATCAATTCCATATGATTCATTATAAATTGTTATTAATCATTAATATCTAAATGTCTAAAAACGCCAGCCAAAAATGAGCATTTCAACTAAATTAACCATAAAAAATTCATTCACCTGTAGAACTTCCTCTACTCCATTCGAGAATTACCATACACTGATGAAATTCCTCCAAGAATTAATTGAGGAATATCATCACCCGAATCATCACCATAATTTCTCCCCCCAGGTTCTACCGAGCGGTTTAGAATCGCCTAATTCTGTCATCCTGCCCTCCGCAAGGCACAGAAGATAAGATGTTGATAAGAATGAGCAGGTTATCAGGATACGGGGCGTTGATGGCAGTGAATCGCTCCAGGATCAATCCGAAAATAATGGTTTATGCGTTAAGGGTGTCTCGACGCTGTTAGACCAATTAGACTGCGTCCTACGAGGGACAAGTCGAAGGGACGAAGGGCCATACATACCCTAAAAAGAGGGATAAAAGTCACCCGGAAGTGAAGACGAACCTCAGAATTGGCGGATAACAAAATGGCCGCGGGTAAGTGGTTTCTCTCTATTACACATTTTCGATTTTTATTCTCAGCGAAATTCTCAAATCAATACTTACGCCCCGTTTTACCTAAGTTTTTCCCAATTATTGTGACACCGAGTTGCGATTTTAATTTAACTTTCACTTTATTTTATATCCTTTTACTCTCAAAATCCGCGAGTCTTTTATGGTCCATTATGAACCATGAGACAAGAAAGAGCCTGAGACGAACGGAAGAGATCCCCGGGGGCAATTAAAAATTGATATTTTCCACACCGCGGCTTCGTAACATCCTTAATGCCCAATCATGTTGCGGTTTCTGCTCCTGTAAAGCCATCGTGAAGTTGAATGAAGTTTTTAAAGTTTTGTTGATTAGTCAAACAAAATGGATTTATACCTTTCTTCCCTTCAGGCAAAAGTAGCCCCAGAATCTGATCGTTCGCTGGAAGAAGAACTTTCTCGGAACCGCGAAAATTTATGAAAGCTGTAAAAAAAATGGGAAAAGTGCAACCAACATGTCGAGTATTTTGCAATTATCCCTTCGGGAATAGTTTTGATTCTATTCTCTCAATTTTCTCCCTTTTTTTCCAATTTTCCTTCCACTCTACATTTCCCTTTTCATCGGGTCATCAAAGCGCGCCTCATTATCGCGGGTCGTTGAGTTTCTTCTGTAGTCGTCACTATTTCTCTCTCAATCCTCTCAGGTCGCTTTTTTACCAGTCGCTCTTTATGTTAAAAACACATACAAGGAAGGCAGCCATTTATTCATGTACAGGGGCAAGGAATAATGCTGTAACAAAACTAGGGCCTAATTTTACCGTTTTTATTCGCGTTTGAGGATAAATTCTCCAACTTTATTACCCGGGATGATGAATTATTATTAACTTGTTTGCAACGGGATGCGTAAAACGGTGTAATCCTAATATCCCTCTGGTGCGATAAATACATGGGTTTACAGTCGCGTACCGCTAGCCATGTAATTTTGATGTATAGACATGTTACAGGCGGCGTATGTGCAGATTAATGTTCTATATCTTGGACTGGAACCGGTGAAGTTTAGGGTTGGGCTCAGAGCCCATGCAAGATCGATGTTCGGGGGGATTTATTATACAAGGGTTAACACTTTTTCCCATTTCCAATATTTCTCTTTTCAAATTCGCGGACATTGTGGGAAAACGGTAATAAGTTTACAGAAAATTTCAAGACGGAATTCCTGACGAGAGGAAAAACTTTAAATAGTCGCAACGAGACGGTTTATATGATAAAACCAATAGAATTATTTTTAACCGACATATTGTTACATTTTCAGTGCGTGACTAGAATTTTTCTAAAGAATTTCTCTACAGCGCACAAGTGGTCGCAATCAGAATTTATTGTGAATTTGAAAAGGACAACCTGTTGGATCGGCTGCACAGCTATTCATAATTTCTCATTGACTTTTACACTGACGTCCTCGAAATTCAAGAAGAAAATTTCAATAGAAAATGAGAGTTTTGAGGAGTTTTCCCAGCAGTTTAAACTCTCGACAATTCCGGGGCACATATTTTTAATCCGTAACTTCCCGACAGTTCAATACTATGAAATTTTATTCGTTAATTGTGCAATAAGTTTTTCCATTTTAATTATTATTATTTTTTTTTCGTAATGATACATTTTCCGTAATTCACGAGCAAGAGGAAAAAGTCAAAGTAAAAAGTAGTACGGAATCGCTATAGATTTTTTCAGGAGGGTGTTCCGTAATTTTTATTGAATATTTCTCTCTGAGTTGTGGATTCAACGGCAAACGCTTAGAATCCACAGGAATAAATTCTGCTGGAAAATATGGATTATACAAAAAGGATGGCCCCTGAAACCTGAGACCTCATGATTAAAAACGTGGCATGGGCAAAAGAAATGTAAAGAGCAAAGGCCATACAACAGTATAGCTTCTGGTCAATATGTGCTCCTCGGATGTAGCGAAATGGAATGAAAAATTCAGGAAAACATCTATTCACCGATATACCAAGGGAGACGAGTACACTCGAGCGAAAAGCGATTGGTCCAAGTTGATGGAAGGGGAAAAAAAGCCCAAAAGAAGGAATCGATGGATGCTGTGCCGGTAGATCGATCTTGTGGAATGAGACGGCTTTTCTCCACATTATACAGCTTTAATGCAAAATCATCCTGATCAGGAGTAACGGAATACCCGAAGGATCCAAAGACCCCAGAGAGGAAAAGGAAAAATAAACGATAAAACAGCACGAAGAGACAAAAGTCAAGGGAAAAAATTGGGTGAGAATTTCGGAGGGCATGACTTGAATTCAGTGGGCATAAAAAAATGCCGAAAGACACGCTTCCAGGTACGCCATGAATATTCAGTGGTACTTGTAAATAAAAAATAAATAAGAAGTAAAGTTCTTGTCAGTGTCTCGAGTGCATGGTTTCGACAGCGAGCTGACTCTTGTCTACACTGTACTTGAACCTTCACCTGACCCACACCAACAATCGTTCCCATGAAAGACCGTCAAAGAAAGTGCTGAATGTTTATTTAAAAGGGTGAACACATCTATGGAAGAAGAACAGTCATTAATTTGAAGCCCCCAGGAAAGAAAAATAAACGAGAAACGGGCCAATTCATATTTTCCTTTACACTTCACGATTTTGTTCAATTATTCTTCATACATAGTTCCAACGATTTCCTTTTTCATCAAATAAATCATATTTATTCGAAGTTTCCTTTCCCTTTTCAAAGAATCTTGCTTAAAATTTAGTTGATAAATAAAAAATATGAATAATAATATATATTTATCCTTAATTTCTTTTTTCGCGTTCGTTTGGTCGGTAGGCAGGAGTAATAGACCAGGAAAAAGTAGCCCACACATCCGAAACGTATTAAAACCTACCCAACTTAACAGACTATAGGAAAATTAATATGTATATATTTCTTGAGGGATTCCCTTCGGTTCCTACGTTCTACTACCCCTGGGTTCTACGATGTAAACAATTAATTGTTTCGTCCGGGGATGGAATTCAATAGATGTGATAAATTGGTTAGAAATATCAACATTTCATTCACTAGTGCCTCTGTTAAAATAACGCAAGAGTACCAATGATGTAGGTAACCGATGCCACTTTGCTTGAAGTGCCATTGCTGATTCTCTGAGGGAATTCGTTGACTTGAAGTGATTTTGAAGCGTTGCGTGCTCGAAACAAAACTTCAAAGGGTCTAACAAGTGTTGAAAAGTTCCTTCAATCGTGGTATTCCCATTCCCAATTCAACGAGGAGGATAAAACCACCCAATTCATTCGCACCAGCTCCAAAGTTCCCCACCAGAGCAATGTTAAGCTCTTGGTAAATTCATCAATATAATCCCCAAGGTATGCCCGAATTTTCTGGTCGTCACCAAAAGCTGTTGACAGGATCCCTTCATGAAATAGTGTTCTTCGTTCTACTTGTTCAGATTTAACGATCATCTGCCACTGACGTAGTCACTTTCTTATCTTTCATTCTCACCATTCAGTGCCATTCTCTCCTGTCACTTCTCGTCTCCCTTTTCCACCCCCAACCCCTTTGTTCCCCTCTTAGTTCTCCCTACCCTCACTCGGCATCTTCAACATTCTGCAAAATGTCATTATGGCATAAATCCAACAAAAATTCTCGTTTCCAGATACTTACAATGCAGTACCCCAGACATTTTCCTTCCATAGAGGGCAGAAGTTGCATCATGTTTCAAAGAAATGTCTTAATGCACTGACACGAAATTTATGTCAAATTCTTCATTTACGAATTAGGTAATTTTTAGAATATTCTAATATAGAACTAGAACTTGACACTAGGTCGTGAGGAACTTTTCTCGCGAATATGAGGTAAAAAAGTTCTTCACGGCCGTGTTTCGAACAATATTCGTTGTTATTCAGTCCGTAGGCAGGATTTTACGACCGCGCTCCACCAACTGAGTGATAAAAATTTAACGTGAACAACCCATTTTTCTTCAATTTTCAAGATGGATGCAAAAATTAGTGAATTAGTTTTTTATTGAAATCGAATTAAAACTCATATAGTTGAAAAGTCAAATGATTTTGTGACAGAAATTACAATCAATTTTTTATCATTAACTAAATTATCAGAACTTTCTGAAAGAAATTTATAGTATCGATAGGTCTAGTAGCATAAACATTCTATTTTTCGTCAAGCAATTAATTAATGAACGGTTTACGAGTAAAAAATTCTCCATGTTTTCATTTTATCTTTAACAATTTATGTTTTTCTATCTCCTCGACCTCAAATTTCCATCTCCCACTAAAAAGTCGTCCTACATCTTAAGCACCAACTTACAAAACACTTGTAAATAATCAGAGAAGTAAATCCATTGTCAACGTGAATTTGCCTCGACATTGAGAGCCTCTCCGTTAGGAACCATCACCCTCCATTCTCACGCTGATTAACAGCCCCAGACTTAAAAGCAAAATGCGAGAGACAGAGTTGAAAACTCAATTAAAAAAATACGAGGCTGATAGCGTCTCGAGTGGGTACTCCAGGGCATTTTTAAAGGCATTATTATTTCCCTTTCTCAACCATTAAGGGAAAAATCCGAAATATCCCCAATGCAACGAAATCATGAAATTTCAACGAATTAACTTCTCACCGAAACAAGAATGACGCGTCGGAATAGTCGGATTAGCATTAAACTAATTACAACAAGAAATCGATGATCCTCGCCGACAATAAGAGGAAAAACGACGAGAGTAAATGTCAACGGTTAGTGCAAAAAAGAATTATGGATCCAGTGTGGTATATTTTTGACAGAATTGAAAAATAATTGCCCTGTGAATTATTGACCCTGAGTTGACTGCTCTTGGCATTAATGATCGTCCCAGTCGTAACCAGAAATAAACACAACCCTCCCCTTTATCACGATGAACCATAATTATATATCTCCATTACATACACCAATAACTCCAATAGAATAATCGTACTTTCCCCATTCTTGGAGGAAACTTGGATAGCACTCTCCTATCACCCTAACATT